TCGAGACGCACAGTTGAAGCCCTGGGCAGCTAGTGTATTCCTAATGTTCCTTCATAAGGATGCTTTGTGAGCGGTGCAGCAACATCACGACCATGATCTCGCCGCATAAAGTTGTCATCAACGTGAAGAGTGGAGTTCGACGAGCGATACCATTTCGCCCAAACGTTTCAGTGCTGCTGTCGAAACCATTTCGCTCAAGAACGAAATCCGTCGTGGGGGTCGACTGCCGCTACTCACATCATCTCCGCGTTGCAGACGGCATTATACTTACAACACCGAACATCGAGCAGGCAGAACAAATGCTGGCCGAATTCGAGAACGCTTGTGAAGAGATCAGCCCATAATTGAACCTATCGAAGACGATGTTAGGAGGAACCGCTCGGTATCTCATGCCTCTTTTGTGAAACGCGCGGCCTAGGAAGCGTTCAAGAATATCCGACTCCGCGCTCACCTTTTCAACACTGCGGTCCTTGCTGCTTGTGACATCTTCTCAGAGACTTGGACTCTACGAAAGCAGGATGAGCATGCAGTCAGCGTCATTCTACGCGCTGTGGAAAGGCCAGTGCTTGGAATTTCCCCACTCACGCAAGTGCAGAGGGAAATCCGGAGTTTCGAAGAAATCGAAAATCAGGTAGGCTGGGCAAGCCATGCGATATAGCGATTACAGTTGTACCGGGACGGCTACTGACTGGATCCCTCCGGACTTCAAACAAATACCAGAACGGCCACCGGCGCGATGGTCATACATCTTCACGAAAGCGAAGAAATGCGAAAGCGAGTCAACGAAGGAAGTGCTTTGCTCCGTGACCTGAAGCTAGGAAGATCCACTGGACCACCCTGGTTCGCGAAAGGGACAAATGACGTAACTGGCGCCCACTCCAGAAGATCGATGCTTAACCGGACCACACTTGATAGAGGCTATTGTATGTTTGTTTACATGTGTGTCGCTAAATTCTTAATTGGCTGAAAACATCTTTAAAGGTCTAGCCAAGTATGAGACTGGTGAACTCTTAAGCGAAATAGAAAGAGAGTCAAATTCGATGTCATCAAGAAGATCAACATAGGGTAACGAAGGCTCAAGAACAGACTCTGAAGACTACAATGTGACTGTTGGCTGGACCCTGCGTAACCTACCGCAGTTTACAAGTTGTGCTAAACGTTGCTGTATCTACCCACATAAGGTTGCCGAATCACTAGGTGGAAAAAAAGGCGAAAGAGGAGTATTGAGTGTTTTCTGCTAAAAGAAGTACTGTGTACACAGGAAACTTGTGAAATTGATTATGACTATATTAGTGAACAGAAAGGAGGGTGAACAGAAAATACAATGGCAGAAAAAAGCATGTCGTGGGGGTTTTCTGTCGTCCTCCGTCGTTCTCATCTTCGTTCTGCAGCCGGCTTGTTCCCTTCTTGTTGCTTTTTCTCGAGATTCGCTGGATATTCAGTCCTCGTGATCCAGGAGAGGAACCTTTGCGGGGCATTCAATGAACCGATTATTGAAGACTCAATTAATGGTTCGCTTTTTTGCAGTATCTAGGAAGCCGAACTACGAGTGTCCGATTAGTTAGTTACACATCGAATCGTTATTACTCAGTATCCGTCTCCCAATTCCAGCCGGAATCATCGTAACGATGTTCTCACTATAGTTCGTTCACAGGCATACTTGACGACAATTTTGAAGTACCCCTTTTCAGTCGAAAAGTGAAGTATAGGTTGGGAATAGTCATTGGTAGTGAAGGAAGCGGAAAATTCGCCGGTTTCGAGAAAAATAAGGCTCCTCAAAAGTAGGGAAAATAGAGGTTGGACGAGATTANCAGACGGAAATAACAGGGAAGGGGTATTCGGACGAAATTTCGGTTGTTGCAATTGCGCAAAGAGGTGACTACATCAAGCCAGAACTGTACAGGACTGCTTTCTCTGCCGCTACGGGTCATCATATGTTGTTAGAACATCCTACATGGGTTACATGGGTTCCCTTGTGATCTGTACAGCCTCTACAATGCCTGTGATAACTCATCCGAGGATACACACGAGACAATCTTTGAGCCTTTGTAACGCCCTGAGTAAGCCGTTTTCCGACATGATAGCCCCAGATATCGTATAAGAGGGGGCCTCAAGTTCAACCTATGGGGAAATCCCAAGAACCATTTTTATCGTTAATTGTGCCTCTAAATATTGAATGCTCTACTTCTGAGTCTAAAATGTCTGAGTTTCAGCAAACGTTTCAATAGCTGGTCAATTCCACAATGAATCAATTTCCCAATCAAGAGGAGAAGTTGGACTTGGGGAATTCGGACTTCGAAAAAGTGTAGAGGAACTCGGAGAGCGCCGCCAAAAGTCGTAACCACAATCGTGCGCCCTCCTTAGCGCTCCCCGATTTAGGTCAGATCGCACCCGAATGACATGTATTGATTGAGAATCGCCCACATCTCTAGTGATTCCTCTTCTTATACCTTTTTGCATGATGATCACATTGATCAACCCTGTTTTTAGTTTTTGGAGTTCAAAAATATCTTCGTCAATGCGCTGATAATTCATGATTGCGATTCATCGACATTTCATCCAATATCTTAATGAATAGCTTTGAGCATTCTTTCACTTCGTAAAAACATTTTCACCCTTAGGTCGGTAGAAATATTTGTTTTGATAATCATTCAACTTTTTCACCATTAACAAGCGGCATTCCGAATGATCCATATTTTGTCTTTTTTTTTTAAGACAAAACTTTTTATCATACCTTAATGAGAACATTTGGTAAGGTTGAAAGAACAAACAAGACATCAGCAGAATCGCGTCCAAGCCAGTACCTGATACCAAATCTTACCCATCAGGAATGATGTGTGATCGCGATCGCTGGACCGCGGAGCATTTTGCTGGCTCCCTTTTTTTTCGAGGGAAAAGCCCTATTCTATAGCTCTTTACTTCGAGGAGTCCTCCATCATTCAAATTGCAAGGACTACATTATCAGACTCGGTGCTAAAAAAGCGGAACAGATCTTAGGTATCCTTGGAGCTGCTCAAAAGAATCGGCACTTGTAGAAAAATCATTTGGTCTCATTCGTAGCGTATTATTCCATTTTTCTGTTTTACCTTTTTTAATTATTTTTTGTCGAAATTCTGATTTATTATGTAGGTAAATGTAGTTATTGGTAAAAGCAAGCTTACTGTCTATAATAAATAGCACCACATACCAAAGGGGAGACACTGTCACATACTGGAGAGTCGAATTCGACGGCCACAAATGCTTCTCTCACGAGTTTTTTCATTTGTCGGCTTATTTGTGAGACAGCGCTGCTTATACGGAAATTTAGACGAGGAGGAAAGTCTCGAGGCTGGTCTTGTGTTATTTGTTTTCCATGTTTGAAGATCGCCGTTATATTCCTTTGCTAAGTTGATCTTTTCTCACAATATTCGAATAAAATGACCTTCCCAAGTGCTCCTGGCCGAGTGGAATTGCTAGCAGTGTAGTCAGACTGAGAAGATGAATAATATTTTATGCACAAGAAGTCCCATTCACTCATTGCCAGCATAATATTATATTAGGTTGTTGCATAACTATTGCGGATTTTTTCGCGCTTTCTTTGCTCTCGATAAAATTAAACTTTTGAACTCGGTATTTTTGTAGAAATAATCTTCTCGCTTTCCTTAACAGAAGTGTGTCTAGAAAGTCATCTTCATATATGCCAAAGCATGCGCTATTACTTCGAGAAATGTTGGAAGGCGGCACGCTCATAACGTGATCTCAACGAACTTCTCGGCGATGGAACAGTCAGTCAAAGCCGAATAAAAAATAATCTGCTTCTACGGTCGCCGTATTCCCCACCAGAAACTCCTATGGATTATCACGTCAATGGCCCTTTGAAAAATTTTTTGACGAACACAACTTTCGACAGAGTGGTGGCTTGATGGCCAACGTCAAGGCGTGATCGCCTCCAAGAATCGAAACTTCTTTGNCTGTGGAATCCGACAGCCTAGCAAATGGGAAGCAGTGGTTGACGTAGATGGTGGATATGTTCCGGGGCAATTATATGAACATGTCTTTGTTTAATTATTCTATCGTTTTTCTAGAAGTTCGCTGAGAAAAATTCGCTATAATTATGCATCAGCCCAATACTTTGCAAAACACATAATGGAAATTTTAAGATGCGCAAAGCGTGCGTCGTTGCAGTAGTTGATGAGTGTCCGAAATCCTTTGTTTTTCAAACAAGCTGCACCTAGTGATCTAGGGACACAATTCCCACTCAGCTTATAAAGTAGCGGACCTTAGCGATCATGTACGTAGAAGTTGCGGAAAGGGATATACTGCGGTCATATAAGCAAGGAGTGAATATTCGATGGTATTTTCAATCTGACCAGTGAAGGATTCTGCGAATTATTTAATCATCTTATCCACGTTGTGGTAGTGTTGTTCTACTGAATCAATGTTTACATCTACTGATGCTTGCTTGCTATTCTTTCATCATTGGTGATTCTAGAACCTTTACAACGAGAACGATTCTGGACATTACTTGGTTATTAGTCTTGTATGTCCCGGTATACATAGGTCGAGTAGTACAACAGATAAGGATTTGGTTGGTCGCTAAAGCTCTCTCACGTTTCTTTGAGATCTGATCTTTTCCAATATTAAGTGCCAACTCTTGCACCGTTAGGCGACGGTTGAGAGAATGTAAAGGCATTTTATGTGGAAGTCAGACAAACTGGATAATCAAATAGGTGCTTTATGATTATCCGGTTGTCCTTCATTGAAACTGAGATCGTTAACTTATAAATCATTGTTTGTTTTTCACAAATTCTTATTTCTCGTCATTATTAAAAGAGATAAACACAGTACCTCTGTTCGCTGGCAACATTTTTTTTTACGTTTTCATCTAGAGTTGGTCTAGAATGTCCTAGAAAGAAGTTTCAATCTCTCCCAAACATCAGACGTATCATTATTTCACTGCCTTCTCTTCTGCTCGCCTGACAGGGCCCATGAATATGTTCATCATTTCAAGTAATTTTAGAATGTCTCCACCGTCTGGCGAAAGGAAATCCAATGAGCTACCGCCGAATTTCTGCTTCACCACAGACGATCCGTTCTATTCCGGGCCGGCTACATGCAACCTGCTGCACTACACTCCGGCAGCTTACATGGCAGGCTTTATTGAGATGGCAATGCTGGCTAGCGGATCGATTTGGTTTTGGCGTAGGTTCATAGATCAGCTACATGTCATGAAGTTTCAAATATGAGGATAGACTTAGTTCGGAACAAGTTATGCTTACATTGAGAGTTGTAGAAATGGAGTTTCCCCAAAGAATGAAAACGAAGTAATGAAGTTTGAGTGCGTACGGGAATAAGCCAGTTGATCCACGATTTACCAAGCTCGGGCGCAGTGGGTAGATGGATCAGGCGCTTACATGTAATGTTGCTGTGAGACTACTGACTCTATTCAAGCTTTACGTTAGTGGACTGCTTTTGTCCGATCAGTATCACCTGCAGCAGTGAATGGTCTCTACAAAATTCCTGAGTCACGTCAGGACCAGGCAGTATTTTGAGGCACTCCAACTTGTCTGTTTGACTTTGCTCGTTGGTGTAACAATAGCCATCAAACTGCCTGATCGTAACCTCCTTGAAGCTAGGCCCCAAGTTTTCATCGTACGGAATGAATTGAGCAACACATAACAACTGAGGTACATTCAACCTAAAACTATGCATTCAATGTTACTGTAACTGATAAAGGAAGAGAAGGTAGTTGACTATATGGTTGGAGTGTTTCGGGAGTACATTTAATCCTAACGCATAAAAGCGCAGTTTTCGATAGAAACCCCAAAATTTCCACTTGAGACAAACGTTTACGCCACACGGCACGGTGTCGGGTAGTAAAACCATCCAAATAGGGCACAGGAGGATCTCAAAAGCCAGCGACGTCAATGTCACTTACTTCGCTGACGTGTTTCAACGACGTGTAGAGGATGCACAATTCACAATGAAGCTCAGATGCTGAATGTTTAGACAAATAGTGTCCCATGTTGTCGGCTGCGGATGGCAATTCTTGGTAATTTGGGTTGCTGTAGTCAGCTTAATACGCCATTGCACACGCCGACGACAGGAATCTGCCCAAATACTACTTCTATACCATTCTCGTCATAGTAGTCTGGTACTACACCCTATTTTCAATACTTTTAAATGGTCGCATAGTTCGCGAACTCTGCGGATTTCCTCTCCTCCTTCGCCACCGATACTCGAAAAACGCCTCCGTTTTTCACCTGAAAAAAGGATTTTTAAATGAACATGTATTGTGCCTTCAACTTTCGTGTCTTAAACCCTATAAAGGAAAGGCCTACGGACATCGGACACCGGTTGAGGCTAGTACTGAAAAAGGGAAACGGTAGTTGGTGTAGGAGGCTGTTGTTAAGACTGGTAGCTATGGTGGTGGTGATGTTCAGTGAGCAGGTAAGTACTTCAATGCTCTCAACAACTATATTTTGTCTAAACGGCTACCGGAATGATCACCGAGGGCACACTCTAACGAAGAGAATGATTCAGCAATTGGCTTTATTGAGGCAGATTTCCTGATGGAAGGAAAGTATTATTATTGTAATTCTTATAGCACATCTGTGGTCTTCTAGTTGAAACAAAGAATCTCATCCAGTAGTAATAGTAGCTACTGATACGCACGAACGGACAAACCGCCTTTCATTTAAATGAACAAAGAGGAAGTGTTGAAGCGCCGGTAAATGAGTGTTTCGCCCTTGAGTTGTTCTCAGGCAATGTGGTGAAAGAATGACTTTCTAGGTAGATCTTTACTTGGCGGTACCAACCACTTCATTAGTATAGATCCCTGATAGAACAATTTTCACTTCACTTGTTGTTGAAAACGGCTGTAAACTTCTCTCGCCGCTCTGCTGTGTTGAAGCACGGCTTTGAAAAAGTCTTTGAAACATTTCTCTAATGTTACTGGGTGTGTATTCTTTTCTTATAGAACTGCACAGCGTCAATCAGTCAATGGACTCATGGGCCGTACTCTGTATGTTCGGCTTGACCGCTGGGGGACTGGTCACAACTCTACTTATGGTACCTCTTGCAGAACTTTTCGTCTAGTTTTCGGAAAAACTCTTTTTATTCGTTACAAATTAAACGGTTGCCATACATTTTCAGTTTTACGGACTGAAAACCGAGCAGGCGAAGTTGCTGTCTCCTAAGTTGGCTTTCATTCAGGTAAGCAATGATTGCTTTGAATTGTGGATAGCTCAGGGGGTGGGTCAGTTACAGGAGGGCTTGTATCGTGCTTAGTGTAGTAAACGATCAGTATTCCTCTATAGTAATCACATCTCTCAACCCTCGAGGCTGGAAGCTGAGTAAACATGATAGAAGCACAAACACGAGAGTCAGTGAATTCCTAATGCGTGTACAAAGTATAGACAGAATAAGATCCTAAAGGTTTGTGGTGCAGGATGTCTGGAACCCGCAAATCTGACGAAGGAAGGGTCCCAACCCTCATATAGGAGCCATTTCAGAGTGACCAATCGGATGAAGAGTCGTACTGCTAGAAGTGTTCTTGAATGTAAATCTCAATCTATTTGGGTCTCTATGATTTCTACTTTTCCAGCTCGAGATAACCATTCTGATGGTGTTAGCTGCTGTCGCTGTTGTAGCAATGTCTTTCGGTATTTCGCTCACTCACCAGCTGTTTAGTGTGTTCGTGAAGTGAGTTCATTTCAACTGATCTCCACCTAGGGTTGTTGTACCACGGTACATAAGCTGTTTAAAACCTACAAACATCTTGGTGCTGCGATCCAAGTGAATTTATTATTCTATTGTAGTCGATCATCATCATCATCAGTCTATCAAAGCGCTATCTGATTCTCTAGTCTTTCTAAACATAAATTCGAATTTCTCAATCATGCTTACACACATTTTCTGACCAAGGTAGAAGTAATATTTAGCGCTGTTCGGTAGGGACGAAGGGTAGGGACGCAAAATCACGCTCGGTCACCCTTCGAGAGGCTTCAAAAAGAAGCAAAGTAAGAGGTCGGACGAGAGTGTTGCGAAGTTGAGTTGCATGCCTATTCGGACGAGCTGCCCAGATGTGTGCGTGTTTGTGTGTAAGTGTGTCATTGCATACAGCTAGCTGCAGTTGATTACGTGCGTGCAACGTGTACGCCCCGGTGCGAGATGTTCAACCTCCATGTCTTTTGCAACGCAGTGAGAACTCGCCCGCCTTCGGGTGTGTACGTCCGTTGAGCCGGTTTCGACGCTCTTATTACGCCCCATCTAGCCCGTTCGTTATTCAATCCGAACGCGTCCACCGTGTTATCCTTAGGGTCCATAGATTCATCCAAAATATCAGAAACCACTTCTTTCGCGAATTGTGCGTTTGAATCAACTAGGCTGCTGTAATTATACCTGAAATTGATAGTTTCACAACGTGAAAAGGGAAACTGCACAACTGCATAACACTAGCCTTTCTTTTATTTCTGATTCTTTTCCCTGAATGAAAATATTCTCGATACTCCCTCCAGCAAATATGAAAGTTGATTCTCTACCTCATAAAAGGATAGAAGGGTCAAGCTTTAGTCATCCCGTTTTTGGAATGCACCCTTGCAATCGACTTCTAGTCCAAATCGCAACGAAGTTTCAAATGCATCAGTGCCTGCACTGTGAATTACGTTGGCTATCTCATGCACAAATCAGTGCTTTTACACCCCTTGGCGAGTTTGGTAACGACAGCTTGGTTGGCTTGGTGAAAGTTGGTCCGGGCTTCGATCTCTCGACCTTTTGTGCGTGATAGTGCATCACTTGCAACTTCACCATCTCCATTGGTACTTCAGCCCTGACATCACTGATCACTGATTTTGGATCTTTCAGGGTACCTGAGATGGAACGCGATTTTGGACCTATTTGGCCATTCAACATTAGCGTAATCTCATTTTTTGCAGCCGCTCTCTGTGTTTGGTGAGTCCATGTTTTGCATCAGTGTATATATTTCTTTATTAATGTTCTGCGATCGTATCCACTGTGGTGAATCATGTTTATGTAACGAGGCGTGCGAGGAAGAAAAATCTTTTCTCTCATATTGAATACACCGTCAATCATGAACTGCGCAAAAGGGGGTGTGATGCTCACTGAGATTACTGCATGCTGTAGCCCTGTGAATCGTCGGCTTGAGCTAGGTCAATCAAATACGGTGCTATTTATAATCTGAGGGGCGGCTGCGAAGTTCGCTGCGGGACCGC